TGGGCTCAAGCAATTGTCCTGCCTCAGCCTCCCGAGTCAACTGGGATTATAGGCGTGCACCACCACACCTGGATAATTTTTGTATTTTTAGTAGAGATGGGGTTTCACCACATTGGCTAGGCTGGTCTCAAACTCCTGACCTTGGGTAATCCGCCCACCTTGGCCTCCCAAAGTGTTGGGATTACAGGCGTGAGCCACTGCACCCGACCAAAAAGTGCAAGTTTTCTTTTACACTTATCCTAAGATCTACTCTCTTAGCAAAATTTTAGGTATACAGCACAATACTGTTAACTCTAGGGACTACACTGTGTAGTAGCTCTCCAGGACTTATGTGTGTCACATAACTTCATGCCCTTTGTCCAACTTCTCCTCATTTTTTCCCTCCCTCTTACCCTGGCAACCACCATTCTACTTTCTGCTTGAGTTTGACCATTTTAGATTCCTAACATAAGTGAGACCATGTAGTATTTGTCCTTCCGTGTTGGGCTTTTTTTGACTTAGCACAGCGGACTCCAGGTTCATCCATGCTATCTAAAAGGGCAGGGGCTGGGTGCAGTGGCTCATGCCTGTAATCTCAGCACTTTGGGAGGCCACAGCAGGCAGATCACGAGGTCAGGAGTTTGAGACCAGCCTGGCCAACATAGTGAAACCTCGTCTCTACTAAAAATACAAAAATTAACCAGGTGGGATGGGCATCTGTAGTCCCAGCTACTCAGGAGGCTGAGACAGGAGAATCGCTTGAACCCAGAAGTGGAGGGGTGAGCCAAGATCACGTCACTGCACTCCAGCCTGGGTGACAGAGCAAGACTCCATCTCAAAAAAAAAAAAAAAAAAAGCAGGATTTCCTTCTTTTTAAGGCTGAGTAGTATTTCATGATATGTATACACCACATTTTCTTTATTCAGTTGTTGATGAACATTCAGGTTGCTTCCATGTCTTGGCTGTTGTGAATAATGCTGTAGTGGACACTGGAATGCAGATATCTCTTTGATATCCTGATACTCAATTCCTCTGGAAAAGGGCAAGAATTAACAGGGAAAATATTTCAAGAACCCAGTGGGCAGGAAGTACAAGAAGAACAATGATGCTGGGAAACACAGGGCATTGAATGATATTAAATACATTTGATGCCACATGGCTGCAAAACAGGGTGGTTTACTATGAGCAGTATCTGTAGCTTTAATCCAGGCAGGTTCCCGTCCTGTCACTTAAGAGCTTTGTGTTCTTGGTCCATCTGTGTAACCTGTCTGAACAAGAGTTTCCTCATCTGCAAAGTGGGACAATATCACCTGGTTCACAGTGTCAGGAGGATGACATGAGACAATTAATGAAAACTGTGAGACATATGGTAAGCATTCAATAAAGAACTACAAATTTCATTAAGTATTCAATAAAGAACTATGAATTTCATTGTGAAATTAGCGTCTTCAGAGTCAAAACCAAAGGCTTATTACACACACACACACACAGAAAGACAGAAACACAAATGACAAAATCAAAGCTTTAAAGGAAATTTCTTTGTTAAGAGTCCATGATGTAAATAACAATCTTTCCTATGTCAATGTGAAGTTTCATTTGCTTACATTTTATCTACATTAAATAATTAGAAATCATGATTTGCCACATCATTCCACATAGAACCAAGTGGAATGGTAGATTGATTTTTTTTTTAGTGGGTATCCAGCTCATTTGAAAGTACTGAAGGCGGGCCCATGTTTGAGACCTTTGGTCTGATGTATGGCCTTGGATAAACTTGTGTCATTCTTGGTTTTCTCATCTGCACCTAACTCATCCAGTTGCTGGAATGATGAAACGGGACCAGGCTTGGGCAAAGTGTTAGGTAGATGGCTGATGAGCCTGTTACCATTGCATCCTCGAAGCTTTGGGATGGTGACTATAGGTACTGGCTCTACCCCAAGGATAAATGCCAGAAATACCATGGAAGCAAGGGTCAATTTATCCTGATAGAGCCAGTCAAAACGAGGAATAATGCGTGAAATTAAGGTAGATGAGGCTTTAAGGAAAGGAAAAACTTCTGTTCAGCAGGATCTTTTAGATAATGAAGTGGTCTCTAAGGAAACTTGAAGGCGCTCTACACTGGAAGAAAAACTAAAATGGGCAACCACTCTGCCTACTGAAATATGAGTGATTTCAAAGCTTCTGCCTTCTCTTAGTCTTTGCCGCTTCTCCTTCCTCTTTTAATTGTATGCTTTCCCCAAGGATGTTCCTTGATCCAAATTGCTCTTTATTCGAGGCTGTGATTCATTCCTGGTGTGGTTTAAATTGGCCCATGTTTGTGGTATCTGATGCTAGAGTAGTGTCTTAAAAAGGCAACCGCCATCTTTCCCCCAGGTTCACCCTTGGTGCCTTCCTGTCACCCCACTCCACGTTTGCAGCAGGCCATCCGCAGCCTGGCCTGGCTCTTCTGCCTCAGTGTCAGCCTCCTCATTAGGCATGCTCTGGAGCTGGCTGATGTCAGAGCCAGCCGATGCATCAGAATGCAGGGCATGCCTCCGGCTCCTGGGAAGCTGCACATTCCGCATGAAATATGAAGGCAACAGCCAGCCCAGGGGAGACCCAGGGTGGATTTAGAGGAAGAGCAACAAAGGTGGCTGTTGGGGGAGGGCTGTTCTGCAGGGCCAGAGAGATGATGTGGGCACCTATCACATATTTTAAAGGCACCGCTTTGGTGGGGGAGAGGGATGCTGGGAGGGGCACCTGGTGTATGTATCCTCTTGACTGCTCCTGACACACACTCCCTCGGTACCTTCTTTCTGCATATGCTCACGGTATATCTGTGATTATGGTGATGTGCCCTTTTGAGATAGGCAGCCGGCTCACTCCCCGCTGTGCTCATCACTGATTCTTGAGTTTCTCTTTTGGGATAACCTGAAATCATAAGAGCAGTCCATGTGGATTTCAGAGCACCTGACAGTAAGAAACATAATAAAAAGTAATCATTGCCCAGCAAAGCCCTGGGGATGCTTGTCACACACCACCTTGGGTCCACAGAGGTTAAGCGTGCTTAACAGGCAGTGGCCTCAGATGGTTCCAAGGTCTGACATTAAAGCCTGTCCTCGTCTTTGTCCAGAATCCTCTAGTTTCCAGCCAAGGCTCCATGCTGGGGTTCCAGCCAGCCATTCAGAGATGAGGAGAAAACCATTAATCCCCACCATAGGCACTAAGAGATTACTGCATGCCTTAGACATGTCATAGTGTAATGTGCTGTGCACATATGCTTAGAACACTTACCCACTTGTAGTGTGCTTGGTTTATGTGCAGGTCACCAACTTAGCCACTCTATCCATGAAGCAGAAATGCTGTATTATCTGTTTTTATATAACCAGAGGATTGGTACATAGTAGGCACTCAATAAATACTGAGTAAATTATATTTGATGAGACTGCCCTCCCATACCATCACACATCCAAGTCATCAAAAAACAAGTCTACTGGTCCCTCCAAATACAGCAATTTTGGGAGGCCTTTTCTCCCCTAACCTAAATCCACAATGCACGTTATAGTGTACTGAGGGTGTAATTCCATTTCATATCATTGATTACAGAGTATTACAGAGTATCCCACTTTCTTTTGATCAGAGAACATATATATATATACACACACACACACACACACACACAGGAATATACATATATACGTGATGGAAGTAGTTTGCATTCCTTGTGTGTGAGATGAATGTGAAAGTTTTCTGCAAGAAGCTCCAAAGCAGTGATGTCTTCTGAAAGCCCCAGCTGTTTCTGGTTGGCAGTACTGCCTGCTGCATACCTTCTGGAGGTGTCATTCAACAGGCAGGTTCCACACTGAGGCTGCCCTGCTGGCTGGAATGTGAGACAATACGTATGCTTGCTTTACGTGTGGAAACTTTCAGTTTATAGAACTGTATTTGGTGACTTTGTTAATTTTATAAAGAAATTGGCTTTTTTTGTGAACTGAGAGGACTCTGTACTTCTGTTGGGTTCTTGATGCAGAGTAGTAGGAAGTAACAGGATTCAACTAAAGTGTTGGCGTTTCACAAGACCGTAAGCTGCCTGGGAGCCGGGCATCGTCTCCCCTGTCCACTGCTGTGTTCCCAGTGGCTAGATCATAGCTGGAACGGAGTAGACACTAAAACGTTGGGTTGAGTGGAGACTTTGACCTGCACTGTCACTTAGAGAGGGTGTCACTTAAACAGATCTGTCTAGATCTGCACTTTCTGTAGCAGAGAGAGTATAGTACCTTATCCTCTAGCCGGTAATATGTTCAGGGTTGGGTCCATTAGAATCCTCCCTGGTTTTGATGTACCTATGCCAAGAGACAGAATTTCTCTGTTGGAGTTACTAAGTCGAGAATAGGATGCTAATTCAAAAGAGGAGAGAATTAGGCTATTAGACAAAATGAAAAAATATGGAGAAAGAGAGCCAGCAAAGCAGCCAGCCCTACCAGCATCATATGACTTTGTGTGTTCAGCCCCAGCTGAAGCTCTAACCCAGAATGTCTTGGTTATATGAACCAATAAATTACTCATTTATTTATTTGCTAGAGGTAATATAGAAGAAGGTTTTCATCGCTTAAAACTAAAAGCAGTCTGACTGACAGACTTGTTTCATACTATCCCTGTCTACTTTTAAAGCTATTCATTTGCCCCATGCTAACAGCTAATCTTCTCTTTACATTTAATGCATGTGGATCTCCTAAATGTCTATTTTCACGTGGCGGTTATTTTGCCCAGTCCTTTTGCCTGCTTTAAGCAGAACTGTGTTTAAGCCACATACTCAGGGCAGATATATCTGTCTCACAAAAGGACTGTAGAGAGAAGGAATACTTCAAATTTCGGGATAACAGCCCTAACAGTTCCCACTGGTGTTGGATCCCCCAGCCCTACAGCACACAGCACCCCCTTGACAGTACACATTAACTCTGCAGTGGACCTTGGTGAGGACACCCTGCTCTGGACTCAGCTCTGCTGTGGCTGCACTCAATTGTTTGTAACTTGTTTTGCAGGAATGGGGCTTGGCCCCCAGCTAGAGGGGAGACGGCTAGTTTTCAGAGAACAAAGGAGAGGGAAGAAGAGAGATGTTCCTTGAACATCTACTATGTGAGAACCACCACCCAGGGCACAGCACCTGCCTGTGAGTTATATAACTTCTCTTGTCCGTAGCTGTGGATGCAAAGGCTCGGAGTAGTTCAGCAGTTGCTTGCACGTGGGCTGAGTTGTTTAAGTGACAGTGCAGGTCTGTCTAAATGCAAGCATCCATGCTTTTTCTACCACCACTAAGTTGTCTCCTGGGGCCATGTTTTGATTTGTTTTGTGCAGTCCAGACTACTCAGCACCATGCTGGCCACACTGTAAGTCCAATGATGACAGCACTGTGTTTATCGCCATTTCATACGAACCTAATGAGGAGGAAATGTTACAGAACACCCCCTCCACGGTGTGAGAGAATTGCTTGACATGGAGATGCACAGAAACAAGAGAAGTTTGGAGTCCAATTTCCTTCCTCTGTGGCCCACCCAGCCTCTGGGGTTGAAAGTGTGGCCAGGGAAAGCGTTCTGTTCCCGTACATGCAGGGGTGCCTCTGGCTGGGTGACAGCCACTGACCCACCTAGTTTTTGTTCTGCAGGTGTTGGAAAGAGGATGCAACCATCCCCAACAGGGAAGGGTGGAAAATGCTGCACTGTGCATGGGTGAATGTGCACATGTGTGTATGTGTGGTCCTGGGAGCAAGGGCCGGGCAGGGACCAGTCTGCAAAACAACATTAAAAAACCGAAACATTTTCCACTGAGAAACAGAATTACTGCCCATGGAATTCTTACCCAGCCTGAGAAGCGAGCAGCAGCCCCTCCTTTTCATTAGTTAAACAAAGAGGGTTATTTTTCAAACGAAAACTTTCAGTGTGGAAAACAATCTAATTCCCGGGGCTTTTTGAGAAGTGAGATTCTCAGCGCTCCAATAAACATGTCTATGTGGATATGCAGCTGCAAAGGCAGTGTGGGTGCCCTGACCAAACCAGAGGGCAGGCCTGGCCAGTGGGGGACACGGGGACTTAGCTTCAGGCCTCTCATAACAATCCCAGGTAGAAAGGCCAACAGAGGGAATGAACCATGGCCTGGAAGATTTGAAGTGTTCTGCGCGAGAAAAAAAGCGAAAACAAAAATATTTTCTGTAAGTCCATTAAATGATCTCCTTTCTTCCTCCAAGTCAGTGAACTCCTTCTGGTTGGAAAATAATCTGCAAACTCAAGCCCTGCTAGGTTCAGTGGGGTGTGTTCCGCCTTATTGAATTCCTGGCCTTCAGAGATCTTTCAAAAAAAAAAAAAAAAACAACTTTCGCCCACTTATGAACCCATGGGGTGATGTCACAGCTTTCTCTTGAGGGGTTCTCTTCATGAAAGCTCCTGGGTACTTGCGTTTGTTTAAGAGTGGGCAAGAATAGGAAGGCAGACTGCCAGGGTTCAAATTTGAGCTCTACCACTTAAAACGTGTGTGTGCTTACTCTCTCTGGACCTCGGCTTGCCCATCTGCAAAGGGGAATAAGAATGGTACCTACATCACAGAGTTTTCATAAAGGTTAAATGAGAAGATGCTTACAAAGTGCTTACCACAGTTTCTGGACAAAGGAAGACCTCAATAAAAGTGTGGCCATTATTATGAAGTTAAAGGGACATGGCATATGGTCACAGACCTGAACTTTTAAAATTAATAAATATCATTCTTTGAGGTTTCTACTTTTCCCATCTCACTCATGGAAAGTGTGTTGTTTAAAAAAATAAAAGGAGACACAAAATAGCCTCTCTTCAAATCAGAGCTTCCTTCTCTAATCAGTCCGTGAATGTTTCGGGGAGTGCTCTATTTAACTTGGCTGGCCCCTGGTTTTGCTGTGAGTAATACATTGGGCTTAATTTCAAACTCCACACAGCCAAGATCACTGGATACTTGAGCTTCCCCAAGCTGAGTTGATACAGCTGCTCTGCCCCTGGTCACTGGTGAGTTGTCCCTGTGGATTCCAAAGGGTCTGAATATAAACAGGCCAAGGTGCATTGGCCAGCCGAGATGGTCAAGGACATGGGTTCCCACTGAGCAGGTGTCCAAGTGAGACAAGACTGAGGAGGCCTGGGGAGCCCTACAGTGTAGTCAGAGGAAACTGAGACAGACAGAGGGTGGCCAGAGATTATGGAGAGAGGGGCCTCGATGACGCTTGGGGAGAGCAGTGTTGCTTGGAGCATCCTTGCTCTTACAAAGGCGGCATAGGTGGTTGAAAGAAACCATCCTGATTTTGACATTGCCACAATGATAAATGAAGGGCATGAAAACTCTCTAAATTAGGGTCTCTGAGACCAATTAGGTCAGATGGTGAAGATTTGCTTGGAAAAAAATCGAGTATGGCTTTCTTTTAAACAAGGCTTCATTTCAAATGGAACTGAATAAACCAGATTCAATTTAGACATGTTTTTCCCCAGGAACTCAGCTCTGGCACGAAATAAGGCTTGCCTGAGGCCACTTGAGAACCGCAGTCTGTGGGACAGCCCTGTGATGGACAAATAGAGCAGAGTGTTAATTTTGAGGCCTGTCGAACCCCAGTGACAGGCGGGCTGGTAAACAGATTGAAGAAGCTAATGACTACTTAGTGCTTTCCAGGATAGGAAATGTGTCTTTGGCTTCTGAGGTAGCAACACCCTTACCTTAAAAGGTTTGGATTGATGATCTGGGCCCAATAAAAGCCCCTTCTGAAATCTGTTGGGAAGCCCAAGCATTTCAAAAGTGAAAGATAATGAAGATGTTCTAGAAGCAATATCATTATGAGTATACATTATAAATGATAATTACAATTAATCATATTAGCCTTCATAATCTCCCAGCGTTATAACTCAACAATGGTAGATTCATCTTCTTTGTGTTCTTTGGAAGAAGATTTTGCCTTGAGCTACACATTTTCTCCTTTGATTTATGGTGGTTTCTGCTTTCTGACTGATTTCTCTGTCTCCGGAAGACAGGCATGAGATGGGGAGGGAGGTTTGGGAATTAGATGAAGTTGTGGGGTCATGATGCCCGGCAAGTTCTAGAACCCCAGAATTTACTTGGCCCCTGAAGGAAGCACTCGAACAGCCCATCTTGTTATTTCAATGCTGTCAGAACTCTTTCATGCTTCTACGTGTAATCCATGGTCAGACGTTCCCCAATCCCCGCTGCAATCTAAATTGGCCTCCTTCTTTTATTCTCTCTCATAATTCCCTCTTCCTTCTCCCCAAGCACTAATCATGATTTTTAATCATTTCTTTATATTTATTTGATGTTTAGCTCCTCATTAGATATGAGCTCAATAGGAGAGGGATCATGTCTATTTTACTCACTACTATATAACGAATACCTAGCGTTGTACCTGGAATAGGGAGGCAACCAATAAATAATTGTGAATGGAAGACATAGTGGTTTGCACAGCTTGGAAAAGCATGCCCCTTAGAATGAAGCCCTCTCTTCTCTCTCTTCCCATTGACGCCAGACATTTACTATCTCCCTATATACCACAAAGGCCCACAGTGACTTCCCATGTGCTGAGTCCAGTGGCTTTCTGGGTCCTCATCCCTCGGCTGAGCTGTAGAGTCTGATAGAATCAACTCTGCCCTACTAGAAAGCCCGTTTTCTTGGCTTGTGTGGCTCCAGGCTCCATTCTCTGGTCTGTGCTCACTGACTCCTTCCTCCTCTTATGCTGTAAAGAGAGAAAGCTCATGGTTCTGGACACAGCTTGATCACATCCTTGTGCTGTTCCTTGTCTTGACAGCTCCTCCACTGTCTTGGCTCCAGCCTGCAACTTTTGACTAGGACCTACAAAGTCTACATTTCTAACCCTGAAATGCTCTTCCTCTTGCCTTCTTTTTCTTCTCCCAGTCACTAGGCTGGAAAACTTACTGTCTTTCCTCAACATCATTCCTCATATTTTCCAAATAGTCAACATATGAAAATATTAATTCAGTGTCTTCTCATTGTCTATGACTCAAATCTCTTGATTGTCCAGACTGTCCCATCTTTTCCCAATTTTCTGCTACACATTATCCAAATTTCTCTTATGCCAACGCCTTTTCTATTAATACTGTCAACATTCTACTTTCCTTCAAGGTTTGTCTTAATTATTTCCCACTTTAAGTCCCTGTGAGCTTCCCAATCAATTATAAATCTTGCTTTTAACTACCAACACACTATATATCTTTCAGTTGGCATTCTCTTAACTTTTTATTGAATAATGAATTTCTATGTATTTGTCCATATTTTCAGGGAAAGCCTAATAAATAGATCCCTGGAGAGACTAACCTAGATAAAACAAAAGCATAAACTACTAACACACACCCTACAAACATTAAACAAAATATTAAGATGTATTATGAAGAATTTTATGTCAATGTCTCTGAACATGCAGGTGAAATGGACAAATTCCTAGAAAAATGCAAAAATTGGTAGAAGAAAAAAATGGATAATTTGAATATTCACATATTTGCTAGAGAAATTGAATCTATAATTTAAAATTCCTACAAAGAAATGAGGCCTAGACATTTGAGTGAGGAGTTATTTCAAACACATGAGAAAAAAATATGAGTGTTACACAAATTCTTCCAGGGATTGGAAAAAGGAAGAAATACTTCGCTACTCATTTTATGAGGCCAGCATTACTTTGATACTGAAACTTGTCAAGGATATTCCAGGAGAAGAAAATTATAGGCCAATCCTTCATTGTAATATAGATATAAAACTGTTGAGCAAAATAGTGGCAAACCAAATCGAGAGATATTTTTAAAGTATCAGATAGCATGACAAAATAGTTTCTTTTAAAAATGCAAGGTTGGTTTAACACTTAAAAATCAATATAATTCACCACAGAAACAGAATAAAGAAGAAAAACCATATGAATACCTCAAAAGATGAATAAAAAGCATTTGGTAAAACTCAGAATTTGTTTATCACTGAAAATATAACTGGCATCAAATTAGGATTAGAAGGGAACCCTTTCATCTATAAAAGTCTATACTTAATAATGAAATAGGAACACTCCTACTGGAGACCAGGAACAAGACAAGGATGTTCGCTCTTACCACTTCTGTCTAACAGTGTACTGGAGGTTCTAGCCAGCATAGTTTAGACAAGAAAAAGAAATTTCAAAGTTTAAGGATTAGAAAAGACACAAACCTGATATTATCTGTGGACATGATTATATGCATAGAATCTACAGGTGAATTATTAGGATGAGTCAGCAAATTTAGCTAAACTAATTAATATAAAGTCAACGTACAAAAATCAGTTATGTTTTGGTATACTTGCAACAAATATTAGAAAATAATACTTTAAATTCGATGCCATTTATAATAGTATTTAAAAAATTAAGCACGTTGTTAGGAATAAACTTAGCAAAATATGCACTTGACCAATGCATAGCAAATGCAGAACATTACAGAGAATAGTTTTTAAAGACTTAAATAAATGAGGAGATTTAACATGTAAATTGGATTGGGAGACCCACAGTTGTAAAAATGTTAATGCTCTGCAAATTGGCCTATGCTTCCATGCAATACTAGTCAAAATTCCAGCAGGTTTTCTTTCTCTCTCCTTCCTTCTTCGCTCCCATCCACCCTCCCTCCCTCTCTCCATTCCTTCTTAAAATTGGTAAGCTAATTCCAAAATTTACATAGAAATACAAAGT